ATATGGTAACCCTACTTACTACACATGGTGGAAAGGGAGGATGAAATTAGAGCCACTATTCCAGCCTCTGAGTCTCTGGGTTTTTTCTTTTTCTTTTCTGCTTGATTCTTATTTCAGGAAATATATGGTTCCAACCCAAGTTGTCAAAATAAATGGTATCGAGGAGAACATTAAGAAGAGGAAAATTTTCTTCAACCCATCCAATGATAATCTTTTGTTAAATGCCCTTTCCTATTCAGGTTTAATTCTGTTTTGGGGGACTGTTTGGGGAAAGCATCTATGATGACTTCTCATGCAAGTTCAAATCCCACTAAGCTATAAAGTGTATCAGGAGATCTTGGGCCAATTGCTATATTTTACTCTAACCCACCTCAGAATGGGGTAGCTCTCTATATACCTTCCTGAGTTCCTTGGAGGAGGTGATATAAAGTTTCGCTTTAAATGAAAAGTGAAATGAAATGAAATGAAATGAAAGATGCCCAAGAAGGAAAGCATTTTCAGGGAAGATAGGTAGACAGGAAAAGGGTTGAATACCCCCCTCTGCTCATCAGTTATCCTCTGCAAATGTTATGCCACTGCACCTCTTGTATGGGTTTTATGAGAGTAAACTTAGTGTTAGGCTTTCTGTCTAGTTCTAGCTCAGTAGCTGAGACTCTGGTCCTATCCACTGGGCTTGGCCTGCTTCTTAAGGTCACAATAATATTAGGGCTCATCATTAGCCCTTGGCATGTAGCTACAAGGAGAAAAGGCCAAGTGAGGTGCAGCTGAGGCAACTTGTTTTTTTGATTGACTGACTGACTGACTAACTGATTGATTGATCTGCAGACACTGACTGTCTTGGCTCAAGCTGGAAGCACAGTGGGAGGCACAGAAGGTGCCCAGGGGGTGTTGGTGAAGGGTCTGGACTGTGACACAATCACCCAGGTGAAAGAGAAGATCCTTGACCAGATCTACAAAGGGACCCCTTACTGCCATCGGCCAGACCCGGACACTCTTGATCTGGGTGAGTAGCAGGCTTAGTGGTCCTGGAAAAAGCATATTTTACAGTGGATTGGCAATGCAGAAACCCACTGGCCTGTCTCCTGTATCTGCAGCTTTATGTCTGTCCTTCATTCCATGTCTGTACCTGAGTACTATAGAATGGTAGGCAACTGCAAACAAATGCCATCTGTCTGCTTCTGGGTTAACCCTAGGTGGACAACAAGAAGGTGCTTTGAGGAGACATCATCAGGAGGATGTTGAATATCTGGCTGAAGATAGCAGTACACAGAGCCTGTGTCCTCCTACCCTCCTAATGGTGTGAAGGAGATGGTCTTTGCTCCATTATATTCTCAAAACATGACTATTGTTTTCTTTTTTGTTTGTTTGCTTTTCTGTGTCTGATGGTGCCAGAATGGAGATCAGGGCTGGCTGGGCATCTCATCCTCTCTGATGAGGATGTAACTTCAGTTGTCCAGGGCAATTGGAAGCGTCTCAACACGCTACAACACTACAAGGTAAAGTGTTTCTTTGTTGGTTTGACTGCCTTTTTAGTTTAGCCTTCATAGCTTGACTTAATGTGTGCATGAGCTTCCCATACTGAATTCTCTGTAAGTGCTTGCTTGGAAGCAAGCCCTTTGAATGTAACACTTTGTGGGCTAATTTTGGGCTGACAAGGACCAGTGAAAGGAAAGTCCTGTTTTGTAGCCCTTTTATCCTCTCATCATATTCATTTGATCATATGGAAACTTCCATGAGAAAGTTGCAGTTTTATTCCAAATGGATGAAATTTATTCCAAGTTCCTTATTTGCCCAAAACTTCAAAAACAGTGCCAAATTATCTGGATGAATAGGAACACAAGGGTCCAAAACACACTACAGAATAATCCAGTTTGATACCACTTCAACTGCCTTGGCTCCGTGCTAGGGAATCCTGGAATTGTAGTTTATTGTGGTACCAGAGTTTTCTGACAGAGAAGGCTAAATGTCTCACACAACTACAGTTCCCAGAATTCCCTAACATTGAGCCAGGGCTGTTAAAGCAGTCTCAAACTGGATTATTTCTGCAGTTTGTTTTGAACTGAGGTTTAAAAGCCCCTGCATTTATACTGGGTGCACACTTTGTGTGATTTGTCTGTCCAGTGTAGATGTACTTCAGAAGCTGAGAAAGTTATGTTTTTGGACGACATCTCTCAGAAACACCACCCAGAGGTTCTGGGAGTTGTAGCTTCAAAAGGTAACTTTTCCAGTGGCTGGTCCGTTGTGGCTGGCAGCAACTTCCCTGAGACTCAGGCAGAATCTCTTTGTTATCACTTCTTCTGTATTCATTTTAACTGGAGATGCCAGGGATTGAATCTAGGAGCATCTGTATGCAAAGCAGGTGACTTCCATGTACGTCCTTCCCTAGGTGTCCACCTGTTCAGGATACATTCTGTGAGCATTTGTTTCACTTTCTATGCTTAGTAAACACTCCTCTCCTCCCCCAACTCTTCCACTTTTCTGTTTAGGTTGTTTACCTGAATATTGTTGATTTGTTTTGAAAAGGATGCAAACCAGCTAAAGAGCTATTTTGACACTTTGCTAAAATAGGTAAAAATAGTAATCATCACACCACCATACCTTTCAGACTGAAGGAGGCCTCCAATTGAGACTTTTATAGTGGAAGAACTTCTGCAGTGCCTTTTGACCGGTAGCAAAAGGAATCCTTTGCCTGGAAGCAACCAAAGCCTTCCATTTAAAATAACAACAGCAACAACAAAACAATTATATGGGTGCATCTACACTGTAGAAATGATGCAGTTGGACACCACTTTAACTGCCATGGCTCCATCCAACAGAATCCTGGGATTTCTAGTTTTGTAGGATGCCAACACTCTGGCAGAGAAGGCTAAATACCTTGGAAAAACTACAAATCCCAGGATGCCACAGGATAGAACTACAACACTTAAAGTGGTGTCAAACTGCATTATTGCTACAGTATAGATGCACCCTACAATTTTTATAGAAAATAAACCCACAAGTATATTGCGTGAGCAACACACAAGCTAAGGCACTATTCTCACTTTGGAGCATCCCTGAGCGCATATATGCGCACACTGTTGAGTTATCCCAGCTTCTGACTGACCCCTACTATGTCCAAAGCCCACGCCTGTTTCTACTATACTGTGCATACTGTGATTTGGTCCAGAATATACCCATGATTTTCAAGTAACAAGTCTAGAAAATAATGGAGTGTGTTTTTAATGCAGGGTGCTCTCTAAGGGGTTATTTTCTCTCTCAGGTGCCTGACGGAGCCACTGTTGCCCTTGTTCCTCGTATGACGAAGCACCTTCCCAGGGAGAATCACGATTACATCCCTGGAGAGAGTGAGTCACTTCCAGCTCTCATTGAAATAACTAAATATTCTCAATTCTTGTTGGTAATGTTACCAGTTTTTAATGGACGCTGTTGTTGGGTTTTTTGTTTTGTTTTTCTTAATTTGTAATTGCAGTTGTTTATATTACAAACTGCTTCAAGAATGAAAAACCAGCAGATAAACGTCCTGAAATAATTAAGCCATTAATTAAATAACACTGGGACTGAACTGGCTGATGAAGGGGAAAAATGTGTGCATGTTTCCATATAAAATATATTGGTTTTATAATAGACTTTAAAGGGCAGCTATGAGTGCATCTACAATGGAAATAATGCAGTTTGACACCACTTGAAGTGAGATGGCTCCATCCTGTGGAATCCTGGGATTTGTAGTTTGGTGAGGCACCAGCACTCTTTGGCAGAGAAGGTTAAAGATCTTGTAAAACTACAAACCCAGGATTCCATAGGAAGGAGTTACAGCACTTAAAGTGGTATCAAACTGCATTATTTCTACAGTGATGTAACCAGAATCCTGGAATTTGTAGTTTGGTGAGGTATTCAACCTGGTCTATCAGAGAGCTCTGGTGCCTCACCAAACTACAAATAAGAGTCATGGCAATTAAAGTAGCGTCAAACTGCTTTAATTCTGCAGTGTGGCTACACCTACCACCCCCATTTCACAATTATTGTGAGAGTAAATTCTGTACATAAAAGTGAGATTCTTTGTTCTGGAAATCCAGGTAGACCCCCTCTTTCATAGCATTTCATTGTAGGGTGAAGACTTTCTTATTTAAGAAGTCATTTTTAAATTATTTATCTGCTGTGCCTGCCTGTTTTATTACATTCCTGCTGTTTAGGGAATTTTACTGTAGTTTGTGATTGGTTTTAGCTGTTGTTAGCCACCCTGAGAGGTTTGGAAGACCAGTTATTTCCCTATCTATAGAGAAATCAAGAAATGCAAGTAGAATAACTATCTACACCACACAAAACTATTTGGGGAAGGGGTGGGATCTGACTGGAATAAAGAAAGAGAATACTCTCTCAGACACCAGTTCCCAAACTTAAACATTGATGAGACCTCCTTGCTTTCTGTACTGTAGAGACTCCAATGCTGGAAGATGCTGACGAAGGTGGGATGAAGCTTTGGCACCTTGTGAAGCCCACTGAGGAACCTGAGTTGCCAAAACATCGGCGAGGGAGCCTGCGGGAGCGAGAGAGAGCCAAGGCCATCCCAGAAATTTATCTAACCCGCCTCCTTTCCATGAAGGTAAAGGGGAGCCCCTCAACCACTGGTCTTTTCAGTCTTCTTAATTTCTTTGCACCTATCCCTTCAAGTTTCAACCCTGCGCACACTGTCCTGGGAGGAAACCTCTTGGTAAACAGTGAAGTGTAGTACTCAATAGCAACGTTGCACTGTTAGCATAGGTTTGGCAACTTGATATGATCCGACAGGGTTTCATCATGGGAGCTGAAAATAAAAAGGGGGACATTAGAAAGCCCTTGTAATGGGGACAGGGGACAAGGTGGAGCCCTTGGGCCACATGTAACCCCCTAAGATCACTACAGGTTGAGTCTCTCTTATCTGAAATGCTTGAGACCAGAAGTGTTTTGGATTTTGGATTTTTTCAGATTTTGGAATATTTGCATATACATAGATATCTTCTAGAGCCAGCGTAGTGTAGTTGTTGAGTGCTGGACTATGACTCTGGAAACCAGGGTTCAATTCCCAGCTTGGCCATGAAACCCAGTGGGTGAACTTGGGCAAGTCACATGCTCTCAGCCTTAGGGGATGGCAATGGCAATGGCAATGGCAATGGCAATGGCAATGGCAATGGCAATGGCAATGGCAAACCACCTCTGAACAAATCTTGATAAGAAAGCTCCATGATAGGTTTACATTAGGGTTGCCATAAGTCACAAACAACCTGTGAGCACACAACAACAACAATAGCAACAATGAGATACCTTAGAGATGGGAGCAAAGTCTAAATATAACATTCATTTATGTTTCATATACAATTTATATACATAGCCTGAAGACAATTTTATACAATATTTTTAATAATTTAGTGCAAGAAACAAAGTTTGCATACATTGAACCATCAGAAAGCAAAGGTGTCACTATCTCATCCAACTCTGAAAAAAAGTGGGTTTTTGAATATTTTGAATTTTGGATTTCTGAATAAGGGAGACTCCACCTGTACCTATTTGTAAAATGGGGTTTTCTTACCTGAAATCACTTCTCTGAATTCTGCCAACAGGGAACACTGCAAAAATTTGTGGATGACTTGTTCCAAGTGATCCTCAGTACCAGCCGTCCCGTCCCTCTTGCTGTGAAGTATTTCTTTGACCTGCTGGATGAACAGGCACTGAATCATGGAATCACAGACCCAGAGACCATCCATATTTGGAAGACAAACAGGTATGTAAGCAAAGCTTCTGCCCTAGCGCTTTCCAAAAGCAGAGTATCCTACTGTCTGCTGTCTGTCATGTTCTCCATCACCCAGTGAAATAAAATACTCAGGTTGAATTTCAGCAGCACCCTTCACTGTGCCCATTTAACCTACATCCTCACACCAGTGCTATGGGCAAGGCTGTTGTTATCCCCATTTTCCAAGTAAGGGAACTGAGTTTCAGAGAATGTCACCTGCCCAATGTATATTTAACATGTCAGTGGTGGCAAAGATTTTGCGGATTCAAATGAAACAATCTAAGAGCCAAACAAGATGTGTCATTAAGCAGAATGTTATTGGTTTTTTACTAGAAAAGTTGGTGGAGAGATGAAATTTCCATGGTATTACACTTGGGGAGTGATGGATTAGACCTCCTTTCCTCATGTATTGATTGAGTCAGAATGAAAATCAGCACACACACACACACACACACACTACCTTCAATTACACATTTAATGTTGCATCTCCTTTGCCTTAATGCACTGGAATTCCCTAATTTAGCTCCTGCTGCCAAAACATTTTACATGTAGAGCTCCTCAGCCGATGATGTTGTCCACTTAATCATAGTTTGAAGAGATCACAAGGGCTTTCTAGTCAAACCCTCTACCATGCTAAAACACTCTCAAAAGATGTCTTGTTGAGCTATTCCTCTCTCCACAGCCTGCCCCTGAGGTTCTGGATCAACATCATCAAGAACCCCCAGTTTGTATTTGATGTACAGACATCAGATAATGTTGATGCTGTGCTGCTGGTCATTGCTCAAACCTTCATGGACTCCTGCACCCTTGCTGACCACAAATTGGGCCGGGTAAGCTTTGGGCAAGTCACACTCTCAGGCTCGGACTGATGCAGTGGCAACCCCCTCTGAACACTCTTGCCAAGAAACCCCCATGATAGGTTTCTTGGGTCATCATAAGTTAGAAACAACTTGAAGGTACATAACAATAACAACAACAATGAGAAACAGTGAGCCCTATGAGGAACGACTTAGGGAGCTGGGGATGTTTAGTCTGGAGAAGAGAAGGTTAAGAGGTGATATGCTAGCCGTGTTTAAATATTTGAAGGGATGTCATATTGAGGAGGAAACAAGCTTGTTTTCTGCTGCTCTAGAGACTAGGACCCGGAACAATGGGTGCAAGCTCCAGGAAAAGAGATTCCACCTCAACATTAGGAGGAACTTCCTGAAAGTAAGGGCTGTTCGACAGTGGAACATACTCCCTCGGAGAGTAGTGGAGTCTCCTTCCTTGGAGGTCTTTAAGCAGAGGCTGGATGGCCATCTGTCGGGGATGCTTTGATTTTGAGTTCCTGCATGGCAGGGGGTTGGACTGGATGGCCCATGTCTCTTCCAACTCTAAGATTCTATGATTACATGAACAACATTATTGCTTCACTAAGTTGTGTATATTCCACATAGAATCATAGAATTGGAAGAGATCTCAAAGGCCATCCACTCCAACTCCCTGCCATGCAGGAACTCACAATCAAAACATCCCTGAAAGATGGCCATCCAACCTCTGTTTAAAGACCTCCAAAGAAGGCGACTCCACCATTTTCCAAGGGAGTGTGTTCCACTGTTGAACAGCTCTTACTGTCGGGAAGTTCCTCCTAATGTTTAGGTGGAATCTCTTTTCCTGTAGCTTGCATACATTGTTCTGGGTCCTGTTCTCTGGAGCAGCAGAGAACAAACTTGCTCCATCCTCAATATGACATCCCTTCAAATATTTAAACAGAACTGTCATATCAGGTATCCACAGGTACTTCAAAACTGACATTTGGAATAGAGCAACATTTAGAGTAGAGACATTTGGTGCCAGGAAATAATCATGTAAAGGTGTAAAGGAATCTAGTAGCACCTTTGAGACTAATTGGGAAAAATACATTTCTATCATAAGCTTTGTGGACTACAGTCTACTTCATCAGATGCTTCATAAGCTTAGAAATTTATTTTTTCTAGTTAGCCTCAAAGGTGCTACTGGAATCCTTGATGTCTTTCTATTCTAAAACAGATTAGATTAATATAACTGTTTAGATAATTCTCTAGCATTATCTCTGAAATCCACAGTCAATTCCTGGACAATTCCTTTGAGTTTAGAGGGCTGGGTATACATTCCTTGCATTAAGAAGGGATAAGTGGCTTCAGAGAGCCAGTGTGGCATAATAGTTGGAACACTGGAGTACAGCTCTGGAGATCAAGGTTCAAATCCCTGCTCAGCCATAACAACCCACTGGTGACCTTGGGCAAATCAAACTATTTGACCGTCAGAAAAAGGCAAAGGAAAACTCTCTTTGAACAAATCTTGCTAAGAAAACCCTGTGATAGGTTCACCTTAGGGTCTCCATCAGTCAGAAGTGACTTGAAGGCACACAACAACAACAAAGTGACTTCAAAGGGCCAGGAGGCCTCCACCTGCACCCCACAGGATCTGCCACCTCGCACATTTCCAAGTAATATTTTAAAAATTTGGTCAAAAATGGCAATATTTGTCCCCAAGAACTTCCAAGGTGAAGGATTTGCCTGTTCAAAAATCCCTCCCCTCCAC